TTAAGGGAGATTCTAGGACATCTTTGGAAGCAGAGGTGTGCTGATTAATTCATCATTTTGCACAGCTGCTGTGCCCTGTATACAAATAAAGCTATTTTCGGTCAAAATACAATAAGAATATGCAAATTAAAGTTCTATTGGTAAATATTAGTTATAATCATACAAAAAGAGAAGATAGCCCACAAGTTGGGCCCAATTACATACATGTGTTTATATTATTATTATTAAGCAAAATCAAATAGATATATATATATATATATATGTGTGTGTGTGTGTGTGTTTAAAAAAATGTATTCACACACATAATTAGTGAGAAATGAAAAATTCATATTTTGAAATGTGAGGGATGGAGAAATTCATTTTGTGTAATGTGAGGGATGAAAAAAATTATTTTATAAAATATGAGGGACGAAAAAATTTATTTTATAAAATGTGGAGGACTATAGATGAGATTATGTAAAATATAATTTGACAAATTTACCCTTAAAAAATGATCATGTGCCTTGCACATGATGGATTCCGGCCAAAAAATGATCGAAACCTAGTTAGGGACTAAATTTGTCCGATGTGAAAATGTAAGGGATATAAAATTACACTTTTAAAAGTGAGGGACGAAAAAAGTTATTTTACGAAATGTAAGGTACGTTTTGGACGATTTTCCCTAAATAAAATGAAGAAACTAGTTGTGGATACTAAATTCATATAAATGATGGACGAAATTAGTAAGCTATGATAAATTTAACAATGACCCCTAGGCTTTAAGTCTGTTGTCCACGTACCCATAAACAATTTGAATTACACATTAGACTCCAGTACTTGTCATAATCCATTAAACAGTAGACAACGCAGAGGAGACTAGGATTTTTATATCGAGACCAAACAGGCTTCATTTACGTTCACTCAGCGACTAAACCAGAAAACCCCGCCGCCGGCAGTGTGCCACAAGCCAGGGGCATTTTGGACATCTTCAGAATCTTTCAAGCCACCTACATTCAAGCTGTCGGGCTAATTCCGATAAAGACGACGCCAAATTTAAGATCCGACGGAGATTTCACATTAACGATATGGCCAAAGAGAACAACTCCTCCGCTATGGATGTGGACAACCAGAATTCGGAATCCGTTGATCAGATTAATTGCCCTAGGTTCTCTATCAATGGTAATTTACTCTCCCATAAAGCTCTAGACAGCTAATTTTGAGGTGATAATTTAGTTTTTTTTTTTGGTGAATTTACAGTTTTGCAGCTCTTGAAATCCGCTCAGATGCAGCATGGATTGTGGTTTGGCGATTACGCTCGTTACCGGTATAACCTACGCTTGTACACATATGGTATATGTTTATGAGTAATTTGGTACGATGAAATTCCGGGAAGTAGGCTTAATTTTTGTAAGAAATGCCGTTTGATATTGTTTTTACCAGTATATAAGCGTAAGTGTGCTCTATATAGGTTTATGAGGGAATTTATGACATTGATCATTGGAGGTGGCAGGGTTAAATTTGTGAAAAATGTGGTGTGATAGAGTTGTACTTTTGAGGGAATGTGAAATTGACCAGTTTTTGCAAATTTTTTAGGAGGTACTGTACTGCTCGGCTCAGGAGATTGTACAAGTCGTTGAAATTCACGCATGGCCGTGGTAAATATAGTAAAAGGGCGATTACAGCTTCTATGGTCACTGAAGTGAGGTAATAGATTGCCAAGACCAATGGTTGAATTTGATTGACATTACAGTTGGTAAATGTTTTTATTTCGCTTTTGCTATTTGAAGAACAAATATGCTGTTTTGTCTCTCATTAATAATTTCTTAAGGGTCGTTAATCTATCCTGATTCTGCGTGGTGGTTGGGGACACTGTAGGTATCTTCATGTGGTTCTTTATACAGCAGAAAGAGCTTGGAGCCATGCTATGGAAAAGAAAACGCTGCCAGATGGTCCAAATGCACGTCAGCGTGGCTATCTGATTGGTAGGCTGCGAAAAGCAGTCAAATGGGCTACTTTGTTTCAAGACTTGTGTTCCATTAAGGGAGATTCTAGGACATCTTTGGAAGCAGGGGTGTGCTGATTAATTCATCATTTTGCACAGCTGCTGTGCCCTGTATACAAATAAAGCTATTTTCGGTCAAAATACAATAAGAATATGCAAATTAAGGTTCTATTGGTAAATATTAGTTATAATCATACAAAAAGAGAAGATAGCCCACAAGTTGGGCCCAATTACATACATGTGTTTATACTATTATTATTAAGCAAAATTAAATAGATATATATATGTGTGTGTGTGCGTGTTTAAAAAAATGTATTCACACACATAATTAGTGAGAAATGAAAAATTCATTTTTTGAAATGTGAGGGATGGAGAAATTCATTTTGTGTAATGTGAGGGATGAAAAAAATCATTTTATAAAATATGAGGGACGAAAAAATTTATTTTATAAAATGTGGAGGACTATAGATGAGATTATGTAAAATATAATTTGACAAATTTACCCTTAAAAAATGATCATGTGCCTTGCACATAATGGATTCCGGCCAAAAAATGATCGAAAACCTAGTTAGGGACTAAATTTGTCCGATGTGAATATGTAAGGGATATAAAATTACACTTTTAAAAGTGAGGGACGAAAAAAGTTATTTTACAAAATGTAATGGACGTTTTGGACGATTTTCACTAAATAAAATGAAGAAACTAGTTGTGGATACTAAATTCATATAAATGATGGACGAAATTAGTAAGCTATGATAAATTTAACAATGACCCCAAGGCTTTAAGTCTGTTGTCCACGTACCCATAAACAATTTGAATTACATATTAGACTCCAATACTTGTCATAATCCATTAAACAGTAGACAACGCAGAGGAGACTAGGATTTTTATGTCGAGACCAAACATGCTTCATTTACGTTCACTCAGCGACTAAACCAGAAAACCCCGCCGCCGGCAGTGTGCCACAAGCCAGGGGCATTTTGGACATCTTCAGAATCTTTCAAGCCACCTACATTCAAGCTGTCGGGCTAATTCCGATAAAGACGACGACAAATTTAAGATCTGACGGAGATTTCACATTAACGATATGGCCAAAGAGAACAACTCCTCCGCTATGGATGTGGACAACCAGAATTCGGAATCCGTTGATCAGATTAATAGCCCTAGGTTCTCTATCAATGGTAATTTACTCTCCCATAAAGCTCTAGACAGCTAATTTTGAGGTGATAATTTAGTTTTTTTTTTGGTGAATTTACAGTTTTCCAGCTCTTGAAATCCGCTCAGATGCAGCATGGATTAAGCGGTTTCGGCATTACTGCTCGTTCCGGTATAACCTACGCTTGATAATTTCGATTTGTTTTATGAGTAATTTGGTACGATATGAACAGTTCCCGGGAAGTAGACGTTTACATTTTTGTAGACAAATGCCGTTTGATATCTGTTTTACAAGCTTTATAAGCGTAAGCTGTGCTCCTATAATAGGTTGTAATGAGGGAATTTTATGACATTGCATCATTTACGAGGTGCAAGGTTAATTAAATTGTGTGAAAAATGTGGCTGTGATAGGTACCCTGTACTATTAGACGGGAATGTAAATTGACCGTTTTTGCAATTTTTTAGAGGTTTGTACTGCTCGGCTCAGGAGATTGTAAATCGTTGAATTCACGCCAATGGCCTGGTAAATATAGTAAAAGGTCGATATACAGCTTCTATGTCTCACTGAAGTGAGTATTAGATTGCAAGACATGGTTGAATTTTGATTGACTTTACAGTTGTGTACAATTTTCTAATTTCGTGTTTTGCTATTTGAAGCAACAAATATGGTAGTTTTGTCTCTCATTAATAATTTTCTTAATCGGCGTTAATTATCCTAGTTTTGCGTGGTGGTTTGGGGACACTGTAGCGGTATCTTCATGTTGTTCTTCTATACAGCAGAAAGAGCTTGGAGCATGCTATGGAAAGAAACGCATGCCAGATGACGTCACCAATGCACGTCAGCGTAGAGCTATCTGATTGGTAGGCTTGCGGAAAAGCGTCAAATGGCTACTTTGTTTCAAGATTGTGTTCATTAACGGGAGATTCTAGGACATCTTGTGGAAGCAGCGAGGTGTGCTGTTTAATTATCATTTTGACAGCTTGCTGCTGCCCTGCTATACAAATAAGCTATTTTCGGTCAAATACAATAAGAATATGCAAATTAAGGTTCTATTGGTAAATATTAGTTATAATCATACAAAAAGAGAAGATAGCCCACAAGTTGGGCCCAATTACATACATGTGTTTATACTATTATTATTAAGCAAAATAAAATAGATATATATATATATATATGTGTGTGTGTGTGTGTTTAAAAAAATGTATTCACACACATAATTAGTGAGAAATGAAAAATTCATATTTTGAAATGTGAGGGATGGAGAAATTCATTTTGTGTAATGTGAGGGATGAAAAAAATCATTTTATAAAATATGAGGGACGAAAAAATTTATTTTATAAAATGTGGAGGACTATAGATGAGATTATGTAAAATATAATTTGACAAATTTACCCTTAAAAAATGATCATGTGCCTTGCAACATGATGGATTCCGGCCAAAAAATGATCGAAAACCTAGTTAGGGACTAAATTTGTCCGATGTGAATATGTAAGGGATATAAAATTACACTTTTAAAAAGAGGACGAAAAAAGTTATTTTACAAATGTAAGGGACGTTTTGGACGATTTTCCCTAAATAAAATGAAGAAACTAGTTGTGGATACTAAATTCATATAAATGATGGACGAAATTAGTAAGCTATGATAAATTTAACAATGACCCCTAGGCTTTAAGTCTGTTGTCCACGTACCCATAAACAATTTGAATTACACATTAGACTCCAGTACTTGTCATAATCCATTAAACAGTAGACAACGCAGAGGAGACTAGGATTTTTATGTCGAGACCAAACAGGCTTCATTTACGTTCACTCCGCGACTAAACCAGAAAACCCCGCCGCCGGCAGTGTGCCACAAGCCAGGGGCATTTTGGACATCTTCAGAATCTTTCAAGCCACCTACATTCAAGCTGTCGGGCTAATTCCGATAAAGACGACGCCAAATTTAAGATCCGACGGAGATTTCACATTAACGATATGGCCAAAGAGAACAACTCCTCCGCTATGGATGTGGACAACTAGAATTCGGAATCCGATGATCAGATTAATAGCCCTAGGTTCTCTATCAATGGTAATTTACTCTCCCATAAAGCTCTAGACAGCTAATTTTGAGGTGATAATTTAGTTTTTTTTTTTGGTGAATTTACAGTTTTGCAGCTCTTGAAATCCGCTCAGATGCAGCATGGATTGCGGTTTGGCGATTACGCTCGTTACCGGTATAACCTACGCTTGTACACATATGGTATATGTTTATGAGTAATTTGGTACGATGAAATTCCGGGAAGTAGGCTTAATTTTTGTAAGAAATGCCGTTTGATATTGTTTTTACCAGTATATAAGCGTAAGTGTGCTCTATATAGGTTTATGAGGGAATTTATGACATTGATCATTGGAGGTGGCAGGGTTAAATTTGTGAAAAATGTGGTGTGATAGAGTTGTACTTTTGAGGGAATGTGAAATTGACCAGTTTTTGCAAATTTTTTAGGAGGTACTGTACTGCTCGGCTCAGGAGATTGTACAAGTCGTTGAAATTCACGCATGGCCGTGGTAAATATAGTAAAAGGGCGATTACAGCTTCTATGGTCACTGAAGTGAGGTAATAGATTGCCAAGACCAATGGTTGAATTTGATTGACATTACAGTTGGTAAATGTTTTAATTTCGCTTTTGCTATTTGAAGAACAAATATGCTGTTTTGTCTCTCATTAATAATTTCTTAATGGTCGTTAATCTATCCTGATTCTGCGTGGTGGTTGGGGACACTGTAGGTATCTTCATGTGGTTCTTTATACAGCAGAAAGAGCTTGGAGCCATGCTATGGAAAAGAAAACGCTGCCAGATGGTCCAAATGCACGTCAGCGTGGCTATCTGATTGGTGGGCTGCGAAAAGCAGTCAAATGGGCTACTTTGTTTCAAGACTTGTGTTCCATTAAGGGAGATTCTAGGACATCTTTGGAAGCAGAGGTGTGCTGATTAATTCATCATTTTGCACAGCTGCTGTGCCCTGTATACAAATAAAGCTATTTTCGGTCAAAATACAATAAGAATATGCAAATTAAGGTTCTATTGGTAAATATTAGTTATAATCATACAAAAAGAGAAGATAGCCCACAAGTTGGGCCCAATTACATACATGTGTTTATACTATTATTATTAAGCAAAATCAAATAGATATATATATATATATGTGTGTGTGTGTGTTTAAAAAAATGTATTCACACACATAATTAGTGAGAAATGAAAAATTCATTTTTGAAATGTGAGGGATGGAGAAATTCATTTTGTGTAATGTGAGGGATGAAAAAAATCATTTTATAAAATATGAGGGACGAAAAAATTTATTTTATAAAATGTGGAGGACTATAGATGAGATTATGTAAAATATAATTTGACAAATTTACCCTTAAAAAATGATCATGTGCCTTGCACATGATGGATTCCGGCCAAAAAATGATCGAAAACCTAGTTAGGGACTAAATTTGTCCGATGTGAATATGTAAGGGATATAAAATTACACTTTTAAAAGTGAGGGACGAAAAAAGTTATTTTACAAAATGTAAGGGACGTTTTGGACGATTTTCCCTAAATAAAATGAAGAAACTAGTTGTGGATACTAAATTCATATAAATGATGGACGAAATTAGTAAGCTATGATAAATTTAACAATGACCCCTAGGCTTTAAGTCTGTTGTCCACGTACCCATAAACAATTTGAATTACACATTAGACTCCAGTACTTGTCATAATCCATTAAACAGTAGACAACGCAGAGGAGACTAGGATTTTTATGTCGAGACCAAACAGGCTTCATTTACGTTCACTCAGCGACTAAACCAGAAAACCCCGCCGCCGGCAGTGTGCCACAAGCCAGGGGCATTTTGGACATCTTCAGAATCTTTCAAGCCACCTACATTCAAGCTGTCGGGCTAATTCCGATAAAGACGACGCCAAATTTAAGATCTGACGGAGATTTCACATTAACGATATGGCCAAAGAGAACAACTCCTCCGCTATGGATGTGGACAACCAGAATTCGGAATCCGTTGATCAGATTAATAGCCCTAGGTTCTCTATCAATGGTAATTTACTCTCCCATAAAGCTCTAGACAGCTAATTTTGAGGTGATAATTTAGTTTTTTTTTTTGGTGAATTTACAGTTTTGCAGCTCTTGAAATCGGCTCAGATGCAGCATGGATTGCGGTTTGGCGATTACGCTCGTTACCGGTATAACCTACGCTTGTACACTTATGGTATATGTTTATGAGTAATTTGGTACGATGAAGTTCCGGGAAGTAGGTTTAATTTTTGTAAGAAATGCCGTTTGATATTGTTTTTACCAGTATATAAGCGTAAGTGTGCTCTATATAGGTTTATGAGGGAATTTACGACATTGATCATTAGAGGTGGCAAGGTTAAATTTGTGAAAAATGTGGTGTGATAGAGTTGTACTATTGAGGGAATGTGAAATTGACCAGTTTTTGCAAATTTTTTAGGAGGTACTGTACTGCTCGGCTCAGGAGATTGTACAAGTCGTTGAAATTCACGCATGGCCGTGGTAAATATAGTAAAAGGGCGATTACAGCTTCTATGGTCACTGAAGTGAGGTAATAGATTGCCAAGACCAATGGTTGAATTTGATTGACATTACAGTTGGTAAATGTTTTAATTTCGCTTTTGCTATTTGAAGAACAAATATGCTGTTTTGTCTCTCATTAATAATTTCTTAATGGTCGTTAATCTATCCTGATTCTGCGTGGTGGTTGGGGACACTGTAGGTATCTTCATGTGGTTCTTTATACAGCAGAAAGAGCTTGGAGCCATGCTATGGAAAAGAAAACGCTGCCAGATGGTCCAAATGCACGTCAGCGTGGCTATCTGATTGGTAGGCTGCGAAAAGCAGTTAAATGGACTACTTTGTTTCAAGACTTGTGTTCCATTAAGGGAGATTCTAGGACATCTTTGGAAGCAGAGGTGTGCTGATTAATTCATCATTTTGCACAGCTGCTGTGCCCTGTATACAAATAAAGCTATTTTCGGTCAAAATACAATAAGAATATGCAAATTAAGGTTCTATTGATAAATATTAGTTATAATCATACAAAAAGAGAAGATAGCCCACAAGTTGGGCCCAATTACATACATGTGTTTATACTATTATTATTAAGCAAAATCAAATAGATATATATATATATGTGTGTGTGCGTGTTTAAAAAAATGTATTCACACACATAATTAGTGAGAAATGAAAAATTCATTTTTTGAAATGTGAGGGATAGAGAAATTCATTTTGTGTAATGTGAGGGATGAAAAAAATCATTTTATAAAATATGAGGGATGAAAAAAATTATTTTATAAAATGTGGAGGACTATAGATGAGATTATGTAAAATATAATTTGACAAATTTACCCTTAAAAAATGATCATGTGCCTTGCACATGATGGATTTCGGCCAAAAAATGATCGAAACCTAGTTAGGGACTAAATTTGTCCGATGTGAATATGTAAGGGATATAAAATTACACTTTTAAAAGTGAGGGACGAAAAAAGTTATTTTACAAAATGTAAGGGACGTTTTGGACGATTTTCACTAAATAAAATGAAGAAACTAGTTGTGGATACTAAATTCATATAAATGATGGACGAAATTAGTAAGCTATGATAAATTTAACAATGACCCCTAGGCTTTAAGTCTGTTGTCCACGTACCCATAAACAATTTGAATTACACATTAGACTCCAGTACTTGTCATAATCCATTAAACAGTAGACAACGCAGAGGAGACTAGGATTTTTAGGTCGAGACCAAACATGCTTCATTTACGTTCACTCAGCGACTAAACCAGAAAACCCCGCCGCCGGCAGTGTGCCACAAGCCAGGGGCATTTTGGACATCTTCAGAATCTTTCAAGCCACCTACATTCAAGCTGTCGGGCTAATTCCGATTAGGACGACAACAAATTTAAGATCTGACGGAGATTTCACATTAACGATATGGCCAAAGAGAACAACTCCTCCGCTATGGATGTGGACAACCAGAATTCGGAATCCGTTGATCAGATTAATAGCCCTAGGTTCTCTATCAATGGTAATTTACTCTCCCATAAAGCTCTAGACAGCTAATTTTGAGGTGATAATTTAGTTTTTTTTGGTGAATTTACAGTTTTATAGCTCTTGAAATCCGCTCAGATGCAGCATGGATTGCGGTTTGGCGATTACGCTCGTTACCGGTATAACCTACGCTTGTACACTTATGGTATATGTTTATGAGTAATTTGGTACGATGAAGTTCCGGGAAGTAGGTTTAATTTTTGTAAGAAATGCCGTTTGATATTGTTTTTACCAGTATATAAGCGTAAGTGTGCTCTATATAGGTTTATGAGGGAATTTATGACATTGATCATTAGAGGTGGCAGGGTTAAATTTCTGAAAAATGTGGTGTGATAGAGTTGTACTATTGAGGGAATGTGAAATTGACCAGTTTTTGCAAATTTTTTAGGAGGTACTGTACTGCTCGGCTCAGGAGATTGTACAAGTCGTTGAAATTCACGCATGGCCGTGGTAAATATAGTAAAAGGGCGATTACAGCTTCTATGGTCACTGAAGTGAGGTAATAGATTGCCAAGACCAATGGTTGAATTTGATTGACATTACAGTTGGTAAATGTTCTAATTTCGCTTTTGCTATTTGAAGAACAAATATGCTGTTTTGTCTCTCATTAATAATTTCTTAATGGTCGTTAATCTATCCTGATTCTGTGTGGTGGTTGGGGACACTGTAGGTATCTTCATGTGGTTCTTTATACAGCAGAAAGAGCTTGGAGCCATGCTATGGAAAAGAAAACGCTGCCAGATGGTCCAAATGCACGTCAGCGTGGCTATCTGATTGGTAGGCTGCGAAAAGCAGTCAAATGGGCTACTTTGTTTCAAGACTTGTGTTCCATTAAGGGAGATTTTAGGACATCTTTGGAAGCAGAGGTGTGCTGATTAATTCATCATTTTGCACTGCTGCTGTACCCTGTATACAAATAAAGCTATTTTCGGTCAAAATACAATAAGAATATGCAAATTAAGGTTCTATTGGTAAATATTAGTTATAATCATACAAAAAGAGAAGATAGCCCACAAGTTGGGCCCGATTACATACATGTGTTTATACTATTATTATTAAGCAAAATCAAATAGATATATATATATATATGTGTGTGTGTGTGTGTGTTTAATAAAATGTATTCACACACATAATTAGTGAGAAATGAAAAATTCATTTTTTGAAATGTGAGGGATAGAGAAATTCATTTTGTGTAATGTGAGGGATGAAAAAAATCATTTTATAAAATATGAGGGATGAAAAAATTTATTTTATAAACTGTGGAGGACTATAGATGAGATTATGTAAAATATAATTTGACAAATTTACCCTTAAAAAATGATCATGTGCCTTGCACATGATGGATTCCGGCCAAAAAATGATCGAAAACCTAGTTAGGGACTAAATTTGTCCGATGTGAATATGTAAGGGATATAAAATTACACTTTTAAAAGTGGGGGACGAAAAAAGTTATTTTACAAAATATAAGGGACGTTTTGAACGATTTTCCCTAAATAAAATGAAGAAAACTAGTTGTGGATACTAAATTCATATAAATGATGGACGAAATTAGTAAGCTATGATAAATTTAACAATGACCCCTAGGCTTTAAGTCTGTTGTCCACGTACCCATAAACAATTTGAATTACACATTAGACTCCAGTACTTGTCATAATCCATTAAACAGTAGACAACGCATAGGAGACTAGGATTTTTATGTCGAGACCAAACAGGCTTCATTTACGTTCACTCAGCGACTAAACCAGAAAACCCCGCCGCCGGCAGTGTGCCACAAGCCAGGGGCATTTTGGACATCTTCAGAATCTTTCAAGCCACCTACATTCAAGCTGTCGGGCTAATTCCGATAAAGACGACGCCAAATTTAAGATCTGACGGAGATTTCACATTAACGATGTGGCCAAAGAGAACAACTCCTCCGCTATGGATGTGGACAACCAGAATTCGGAATCCGTTGATCAGATTAATAGCCCTAGGTTCTCTATCAATGGTAATTTACTCTCCCATAAAGCTCTAGACAGCTAATTTTGAGGTGATAATTTAGTTTTTTTTTTTTTGGTGAATTTACAGTTTTGCAGCTCTTGAAATCCGCTCAGATGCAGCATGGATTACGGTTTGGCGATTACGCTCGTTACCGGTATAACCTACGCTTGTACACTTATGGTATATGTTTATGAGTAATTTGGTACGATGAAGTTCCGGGAAGTAGGTTTAATTTTTGTAAGAAATGCCGTTTGATATTGTTTTTACTAGTATATAAGCGTAAGTGTGCTCTATATAGGTTTATGAGGGAATTTATGACATTGATCATTAGAGGTGGCAGGGTTAAATTTGTGAAAAATGTGGTGTGATAGAGTTGTACTATTGAGGGAATGTGAAATTGACCAGTTTTTGCAAATGTTTTAGGAGGTACTGTACTGCTCGGCTCAGGAGATTGTACAAGTCGTTGAAATTCACGCATGGCCGTGGTAAATATAGTAAAAGGGCGATTACAACTTCTATGGTCACTGAAGTGAGGTAATAGATTGCCAAGACCAATGGTTGAATTTGATTGACATTACAGTTGGTAAATGTTTTAATTTCCCTTTTGCTATTTGAAGAACAAATATGCTGTTTTGTCTCTCATTAATAATTTCTTAATGGTCGTTAATCTATCCTGATTCTGCGTGGTGGTTAGGGACACTGTAGGTATCTTCATGTGGTTCTTTATACAGCAGAAAGAGCTTGGAGCCATGCTATGGAAAAGAAAACGCTGCCAGATGGTCCAAATGCACGTCAGCGTGGCTATCTGATTGGTAGGCTGCGAAAAGCAGTCAAATGGGCTACTTTGTTTCAAGACTTGTGTTCCATTAAGGGAGATTCTAGGACATCTTTGGAAGCAGGGGTGTGCTGATTAATTCATCATTTTGCACAGCTGCTGTGCCCTGTATACAAATAAAGCTATTTTCGGTCAAAATACAATAAGAATATGCAAATTAAGGTTCTATTGGTAAATATTAGTTATAATCATACAAAAAGAGAAGATAGCCCACAAGCTATTTTCGGTCAAAATACAATAAGAATATGCAAATTAAGGTTCTATTGGTAAATATTAGTTATAATCATACAAAAAGAGAAGATAGCCCACAAGTTGGGCCCAATTACATACATGTGTTTATACTATTATTATTAAATAAAATCAAATAGATATATATATATGTGTGTGTGTGTGTGTTTAAAAAAATGTATTCACACACATAATTAGTGAGAAATGAAAAATTCATATTTTGAAATGTGAGGGATGGAGAAATTCATTTTGTGTAATGTGAGGGATGAAAAAAATCATTTTATAAAATATGAGGGACGAAAAAATTTATTTTATAAAATGTGGAGGACTATAGATGAGATTATGTAAAATATAATTTGACAAATTTACC